AAAACTTGTTGACTAATAAGGAAAAAAAACCTACTAAACTTAAATGCAATAATTTACATTTTAATTTTTGAATAGACTGTACATCAAGAAAAATGGAGTTCATTAACTGAAAACCTGTACACCACTCTACAAGAAATAACAAATGAACGTGAATCAACGTTTACACCTAGCGCTCTTCTTGATTCATTAAGAAGAAAATGCAAAATGTTTATTGGCTACAGTCAACATGATTCTCATGAACTTTTACGTCACCTTTTAGATTCTGTGCGTGATGATGACTTGAAGGTAAGCTTAAATAATTACATTATAAATACAAAAAGGCAAAGCAAATTTTCATACAGTCTAATAAAAATACATTTTGCTCGAATCCAAATTATAAATTATAATTATTGATATTTGGAGTACAAATGGAGTTTTCTCATACAACAAAATATTAGTCTTATTTTGGTAACTTTTAGTTTATTTTATTTTTTATCAAATTTATGTTTCAATGTCCTCGTGTTAGTTTTTAATTCCGCCTTGTAGTCATATATGTTTGATTCCACATTGCCTAAGCTTAATTACAATTTTTACATGTTTTTAATTAATTGATGCTCAATTTATGATATTACAGTATATTTTTAAGCCTTGTTTGTTTTGTAAATAAAATGGGTAATGACTAATGTGTTACTACATAATCAAATATTTACTTATATAGATTTAAACTACATATCACAAATTACAATGATTTGTTCACAAAATATGAAAACAATTCTTGATAAATGGATATTTATTTAAAAATGTATTATCGCTGTATCATATAAAAGAGGCCAACAAATCCAAATCTTTTTCAAAACAAAATTTGATCATATATTCTCTATAAAAACAGACCTTAGTGGCCAGTTTCTTTGTAGGGTGTGGCATTATTCCAAAACACTATCCTTGCTTGTAACTTGGTAGGGGAAGTATCCGACAATGTGTCTGCCCGTCGCCGAGGTCTGTTTTTATCATGGATACTCATTCAAACTCATAATTTTATCCCACCTATATGATAATCAATTCAACATTTATTTAAATTAATAATAACTTACTTTTAGCGGTATAAAAAAACAATTGTACATCATTATGGTTTATCGATGAAAGTTGAACCAAGTGAAGTGGATGAAAAAAAAACTGCAAAAATTAAAGAACTGGGCAAAAAATTGCAAGATGTTCTCTTACGTCCTGATCATGTATTCAAAGGAGAACTTTTGAGTGTTGTTCAATGTCAAACTTGTGGTTATAAATCAGAGGTAACAGAAAGTTTCCTGGACTTAAGTTTACCTATCACAGTTGATAAGGCAAGTATTTGTTTTCTATGCTTCATAAAAATTTTGCTGTGAATAATAATATTAATTTTTATCAATAGACCCACCCATTATCGTTCCCACGTAAAAAAGATAATGATGTTTTTAGTCAATCTAAGCATCAAACAAAAAAAGAACGTAAATTAGCATTAAAACAAGGAAGGCGAAAGAAACATGAGCACAAACAATTTAACAACAAAATTCAAGATACATCAGGTAATATTATTTTAATATTAAAGCATTTAAAATTGCGTAGTGAATAATAAATTATTTTATGCTCTAAGATTCTAAAGTGCTTTCTAATAATTATGTTTTTAATTATTAATTTAAGCTGTGAATAATGATGCGGACATAGAAGACAATATGGAAATTGAAACAAATGAAATAGAAATGTCTGTTTGGAAGAATGAAAATAAAGAAAATCCAGAATCTGGATATGGTTCAGAAAAACAACCATCTAATGTTACAAGTCCTTCTCTAAGTATTACAGAACTTACTACATTGATGAATAACACTCCACTGGCTGATCCTGACAGACAAATGGATGCTGATCAAATTTTGGATTCTGAAAAACCCATGGATTTGGATTCTGTAATACCGGGAAGTCCTGCTAATAGCCCAAGTTCACCACAAGGGTCATCGCTCGATTCCATGCGTGCCAATGTCAGTCCAGATTACATGGATGTAGGGACAGATAGTGCAAATGAAAACCCGGTATTTTTTATTTTTTTAGTAAAGCTATCAATATAAAATAGTTATAGAAATTAGGTATTGATTTTAATTTTAATTATTCTTAAACACTTATTCATAATAAAGACATTAAAGTATACATTTGAAGTGAACTATATTGTCTTCAATTTTAAAATTAATTTTTGTTTAATTGTATATTTTATAAATTAGGAGCGTAACAATCCTACACCAAACGTTAGTGATAACAACAGTGATGGACTATTTGATGATTCAAAAAGTGAAGACGATGTAGAGGATGAAGAAGAAGGTGAATTTTCTCAAGAATGTCCACAAGCAACATTGCAACCTCAACCAAAATGTAAAGATAGCGAGTGTTCAGTGTTGACTTGTCTTAATCAATTTACTGCCTCTGAAATAATGACTGGTAATAATAAAGTTTCATGTGAAAGGTGCACTGAACAACACAAAAAAAGTAAGATTTTAATTTAAATCATACTACAATTTTTATTGAACTGTGATTATTTTTATTTTATTTTTGTAGAAACAAACGAAGAGAAAACTATTTATCGCCAAAGTACCAAACAAATGTTAATTAGTTCTCCTCCAGCTATTTTAATATTGCATTTAAAACGGTTTCAAATGTGTTATTCTACAACACGTAAAATGACAAGAGATGTATCATTTCAATGGGTTTTGGATATTGCTCCTTACTGCTCTGTTAAATGTCAAGTTAGTAATAATACCTATATATTTATTTTTAAATACATCTTAAACATTCATATAATAATATTTAATTTGTTTATTTATTTAATTAGAACAAGTTAAGCCCTGGTCAAAACCGAATATTGTACTCTCTTTATGGTGTAGTTGAACATAATGGGTTTTTACATAGTGGTCATTATCTTTCATATGTAAAAGTATGGTTCATTTATTATAAACAGCTTATTAATGTTGTAACATTTATTCTACAAATATATATTTTATTGTTTAGGTCAGAGATTCAGTTAAAGATGATAGCTACCGATATTCATTTTTAGAAGGCAGTAAAACCAAACCACCTAAAGTTATTGATGGTAATGATGATCCTTCACATTTAGTTCCGAGTGGTACCTGGTATTGTGTCAGTGATAGTATGGTTAGACAAGTAACACCAAATGTTGTTCAAAACTGTCAAGCCTACTTATTGTTTTATGAACGAATTTTATAATTTTATGTATATATATATTATGTATAATATATTATTGTTTTATTCGAAATGAAACATTTGAGCAATTAAATTGGAATGATTATTTTTCAACAATGTTTATATATTTATATACTAATTTTTATTTATCATATAAATTGCCGAAACTTGTTGTAAATAATTATTTCATTATGAAATTTTAAAACATTTAGGCAATTTCTTTTTTCAAATATATCTAATAATAATTTTACTTTTACACTGGATTTCTTTCTTCTTTTTTTTTTCAGTGTCAGAGTGATTTAATATACCTAAGTATGATATTTGTAAAATTTTAAATTGATAAAAAATTGTTTAAACAGAATTTAAAAAAAAAAAAATTATTAAGTGTAGAAAATCAATATTTGATGTTATACCTATAATATATATACATAATTATATATTATTTTTTTACAAGAATAAAGATGTAATCAATACTATACAAAATTACTTAATGGTTAGTTATTTACTTTTTTACTCATTGCTTGAATTGGAGGAGTACCCTTTCTTTTTCAAAAATATTTTATAGACCTATTCGTATAATCAATAAAGCATTTTAAAATTGTTTTTATATTTTTACATCTTCTTTCTATTTTTTTCCTAATTCAAGCACTTCCACCCACATACCTACTATTGGGTATTTTTCTTTAATGTTATAGAAATGCTCATCTGAACCTTAGGTATATATTCTTTAAGATGCAAAATAGTTTTAAAAAAAAGTCATGGGGTTGGGATCATACACTACTGTTCGGCAGCATACGACCACAGACCTATATATTTATAGGTCTAAGGGAAAGACAGTTATTTTCCTTAAAACATTATTAATATCCCATGCCCCCATTTGATGCAATGTAATGTTCCGTTAAATAGATAATTACTCACCGATAAAGTCCTCGCTACTGTAAACCATACACTAGCTTTAACTTCACTTTCAGTTGAATCAAATTTAGTTGGACATTGAAAAAAGGGCCTTCAGTGTACTGTGACGTTATTATCGCAAACTAAGGTCTAAGATAGCCATTAGCCAAGACTAGGCATCAAGGTGTATTTTATCACAAGTCTTATATGTATTTGAACTATACATAAACGCGATGAAAAATCGTGGTTATGAGTTAAAACAACTGTCAACCAAATACTTATAGTGTATTCAATTGTGTCGAATGTCAATAAATTATTGTATATTCGTATTCCCCGTTGGTAGCTTTCCATAGGTATTATCTGTACACAGTGGCGGGCCGAAAGGCTAAATTTTTACTCATCTGCGTCGTTAATGCTAAGGCCCCGGCCTCTTTCGGTCACATTTTTTTTGCATCATAACTTTGTTATAAGCACCTGAATAATGAATATGAGAGTTTATTGTGGGGTGGTGGTGGTAACTACTTGAAACTTGAATATCGAATTGCGTCACTTAGAATTTAAGTCCAGTTCGCCACTGTGGCATTGTTTGCACCTTAGATCATATACTATTATAAGGTTTGTACTATATTTTTCTACGATATATTGTTCTCTTATCTCTGATAAAATCCGACGGTTATCACTTAACGTAAATATAAAATTTAAATAAGCAATAGTGAATAGATGTTATGATTAGATTAATCATTTAAACGTTTATTTTTAATTAATTTACCCAGTTAAATCCTTTTTCTATGAATTTACGTTAAAGTATTTACTACATTTTTGCTTGTATTCAACTAATAACCTAATAAAATACAACCGGCAGTCTGCACCTTTAAATGACCATTATCTGAAAATAGTTCTGAGTGGTCATGTCGGGTCTAACTACTCAAGTGTTTTACGGTTCGTCAAAACGAAGTTCGTTCCATTTAATACCATCAACATCTTCATCCAAAAAGGTAAGACGTGAACCGTGCCATTTAACCAATGTTAAACGGTTGCTGGGACCTCTAATTGGCTGGAAAAACTTTCCTAGACAACAAGAAGCTCTAGACTATGCGAAAACTAAATCAAATGGTTGTATGTCCTTCACGTATGAACAAAGTAATGGCCAACGATATTTTATGGTTGCTCATCCTGAAACATTTTGGTACTATGATTCACGTAAACCACAAAATGAAAGACACACTTATGAAATCATACCGGAAAATAATCCATGCAAATTATATTTTGATTTAGAATTCAATCGCAATGAGAATCCAGAATCAAATGGTATAAAAATGCTAGATACTTTTGTCAAAATAATTATAATGTTTATCAAACAAAAATTTGATATAGTGTGCAAAGAAGAAGATGTTCTTGACTTAGATTCATCAACAGCAGAAAAGTTTAGCCATCATTTGATCTTTCAATCTATTGTATTTTCTAATAACCTTCAAGCTGGGTATTTTGTTAGATTTATATGCTGTGAAATTAATAAGTTTTTGTCTGAAGATCACTGTCTAGAAGATAATGGATGTTTTTACAGTGGAATAACCACTAAAGATCTAATTAATTTAAAAACTCATCAAGGATTATTTTGTGACGAAAGTGTATATTCAAGAAACAGACATTTTAGATTATATAAGTCATCAAAATTGAAAAAAAATATTCCATTAGTCCTGAGCGCTACTAACAAGTATAAATTTCCTGAAATGGCTCATTGCGAGGACTGTTTTGACAAACAAATATTTTTAAAGTCTTTAATAACATTTGGTTGTGATGATAATGTATTATTGAATTTCACTAATGTGACAAGTCAAATTATTGCTGAAACACATGGTGACAGGGTACATCTGAATAATAAAAATCAAGGTGCATGCCAGTCTTCTTACACAAGTTCACCTTTTCCGCGAATAGATAGGTATATCTCAGATCTTGTATTTCCCGGAAAAATCTTCAAAAACCATTATTTTCCTTCGGTCAACAAATTAGTTTACAGTATTGTGAAGAACCGTTATTGTGGAAATGTTAAACGACAACACAAAAACAATAATGTTAAGTACATAGTTGATTTAAACGAAATGTATTGGTATCAAAAATGTTATGATCCTGACTGTGAACAGTATCGATCAAATGGTACTAAGTTGCCAAATGAAATTTGTTTTGAGTATGCTAATCATATAGTTGATGATTTATCGGACAGCCTGTTAGTAGAAGTTGCAGACGCTGCTCAATTATAAATAATCTATTTTATCAAAGGATCAAAGAATAAAACTTTTATACTTCCTGTACATTTTAACCAAGTGAATGTTTATATTTCATTTTTAAATATAAAATATTGTTTTAGACTAAGCAATGTTTAGTTGTAGTTTGTAATGATCATACACATCATTAAATGTAATAAATAAATATGTTAAAAATGAAAAATTTTAATAAAAATATAGAAATAATATTTAAAATACGTTTAAAAAAGTATCATTTTATAGCAGTGTAAGGTGTAACATATAATCCATTACCTAGACAAAAATTAATTTTTTATAAATTTTATATAGACAAGTCCTACTAAAGTACAAGCCTCAATTATAATAATGAGTACAAGCATAAGTTTATCTTGGAAAACATGTCTATTAATAGCAGAGACATAACGGTGTGAAGATATTCTGGAACTGTCAATGTCCTCCAATCGATTACGGGTACCATGGAGAGTCTGTCTTTGTTCACCTAATTCTTGAACAATCGCAGAACCAATTTCTTCAGTTTCTACAGCAATAGATTTTATACTAGTCAAACGATCATTGGTACGTAACAGAATTTTACGATTTTCTTCGAGGACTTCCATTGAAATGTTAACTACGTGATTATATAATACATAATACAAATTATTATTAGAGACGGCATAACTGCATTAACATATAAACAACATTTTGAATTATTCTCAGATAATATTTTATTATTTTTGAACTATATCTTACCTGTGAATTGTGACAGTCTTACACTAAAGTGATATAAGCCTAAGGGTTCATCTCTACACTGCGATTATAATGAAATGATGGAAAATCATCAAGGCCGTGGATAATTTACAATTTATATTTATTTATTAAATTGTACTGACGATTCTTCGTGTAAAATATAGTGAAATTATGATTAAAATAGTTCTTTAAAACTCTTGAGGATACAACACTCACAAATTGGGCTTATAATGAATTAGAATGTCTACGATTTCAGTGTGCACTAATCACGGGCATCTACAAATTATTACCACGAGGCACGAACTAAGATGAGTTGAATATCTTAGTCCGTGATTACAACCGTGATAACAAGTAACAACCACTGTCCACTATTATTATCTAGCTATACACAGATATGACGTACCAGCTTGAACCACAGAATACTACTACCATTGATTAAGGGAACTCTATTAATGCTACAACTACCTAGCGGACAGCTTATAGTGATACCGGTATTAGCAATTAACTACTACAAAAATAGATGAGTTAATTTTGAAGTATATACAATTATACAAATTTTACAAAAATCAAATAATGGGTAAGAACTGAGTGATAACAACACCCACAACAATGGTTATAATTCCATTAGAAATTCTTCCATTCTTGTTTTCTAATGGTTATACTAGGTAGTTAGGTTAGATTTTATTATTGTTTGTATTTTGTTTTAGCGAATAATAAGTTGTAATATTAATAGTTGATAGTAACTAATAAGATGGTTTTTAGGTCCATTAGCGATATAGGTAGGGGCCAGGGGGCAAAGGACGTTGCTAGATAGCTCTGCCGTCAAACACTCATTGAATCGCGGGGTCGAGTTGTGTCGTTGGCGCTTTTTCAAAACGCCCATCACTGGTTTTTCCGTGTTCCGTAATAAAAACGACAACATGGTAAACTTAAGTAAGTGAGACGACATTTCAGTTAATAATAAAGTTCCCAAAGTGCTGAAATTTGATGTGGCAGGTAGTGGGCTGCACGTGTTAAGCAGCCGTTTTTTGATATAAGTGCGGGCAGACGGCAGCGGTTTAGTTAAGATCATACTTCACAGGATCATTTCTGTAGTATGCATCGTCCCCTCCAGGTGCAAATCTGGAGTCGTCATCGGCCACGATGATGAGTCTTGTCCATGTACCAGAGCGTGAGACGGCTAGTGGTCTGCTGTTCGCAGTTAAGGCCATTCAGCAACGATGATCGCAACCAGCTTCGCTGGAAGGTATGTGGACAGTCTGAGTGGTCCGCTTTTAATTCCAATATTCTATAATGTCGTAGTCATTCTTTAAAGGTCTGACCAACAATGGTGTACACATTTCTGTTCTAACCGAGGTGATGTATTCACAAATTTTTGTTATCGCTAGACGTTTAATAGTATTATAGTTGTGGATTTAAGAAGCCACAGAATAATTTATTTCTCTATTAAATTTTCAAATTTTTAGAAAAATGCCATCTTGGGGGGGTACTAAATTTTGATATGTCTCTTTCTGCGATACACTTTGGTATACAAGTAATCTATAAAAATATTGTAAGCATGTACCTATTTTATTTTTTATTAAATAGAAAAAGTAGTTTAAACAAACAGTTCTCACCTCAGATTACTGAAAGCAGGACTGTACCAAGTACATGTGAGTACATTTAATTATGGATGATGAAGAATGACATTCTTATTTTATGAACTCAGTGGATATGAATTTTCAATTTTAATTCTTCATAATAATTATCTTTTATGAATTAACATTAACTTATTTTTTGAAAATTGAAGGTGATAGCGATTTATTAGGGTATGTGAACAGTCTGAGTGGTCCGCTTTTAATTCTAATATTCAATAATGTTGTAGCAAATCACATAATGGTGTACACATTTCTATTCTAAGTTCTAACCGAGGTTATATAATCAAATTTTTTTGTTTATCGCCAAAAAATAAATAATGAATCCTCAGTTTTTGTTGTATAGGAAAAATATCGAGCAACATGAAATCTCTAATTCTACAAATTCAGAAAAACTAAATGTACAATATTGGTAAAATTAGAGGAATTTGAAAAATGTAGAATAAAATAGCTTTGTTTTTCATAAGAGTCATTTCATTTATTTTAAACTATACAACATAAAAGCTTTGTTTTTCATAAGTCATTTCATTTATTTTTAAACTATACAACATAAAAGCACAGAATAGATTAAAATGATAAAAGCACAGGACCATTTATCAACGATGATCGCAACCAACTCTATGGCTGAGCCTTCCCTAACCTTGAAGGTGATTGTATAAACCCCGATTTAATCTTTCTTTATAAAGAAAATTGTGGTATTAATTATTAACGTATCATGTTGCTCTATATTTTTCCTCTACAACAAAAACCGAGGATTCATGCGTTTCATTGTTTATTTATAGCGATAAACAAAAAATTGTGACTATATAATATTGCAATATAAATAAAAACATCATATATAACCCAACCTCGGATAGAATAGAAAAGTGTAGGCGTAGAAATGAGTACCATTATGGTCAAACCATCAAATGGTTTGCTACAACATTATATTAGAATTGAAAGCGGACCACTCAGACTGTCCACATACCTTCCAGCAAACAGTTACTGTACCACAAAGTTTGTATTTCAGCATGATTTTGTCGTATTATTATGGCGTGGAGGTAGAATAGCCTGGCCACCACGATCTCCAGATCTAACGTCTTTAGATTTTTATTTGTGGGGATACATGAAACAGAAAGTTTATGCTGTTGTCATCAAGAGCCGTGGGCAATTATTGGATCACATCCATATAGCAGCAGAAGAAATACGACAAAATCATGCTGAAATACAAAGGTCGTCAAAGGACTACACAAAGGGTTTCATTTAGAGCTCAAGCTTGTTTGCAGTCAGGTGGGAAACACTTTGAAAACCTTATTAATTAATCAAATAAACATAACATTTATTTCCTTGTTATTTAATTATTATTATTATTATTAAACTACTTTATTTTCATTTTATTTAAAAAAAAAATTGACTTATTACATTATTTATACCACCTCTAGTGAGTTTATGCTTAAGTTGACTTGATGTTGAGTAAAATTAGAAATTGCCAACAATTAAAATCACAAAAGACCTGTAATGTTTAGCTGCGTATAACTCTGCGATTATGAATGATATGAAAACCAAACTTATAAGGTATTCTAGGTGTTATTCCGTAGAATAATATACACAACCAAAATAACCCATGCTAAATATTGAATTATTTTGAGTAATACGAGATGTAATTTTAAAAATTCCAACTTTTGATAAAAAAAATTTACTTTTTTCAATTTAATAATAATAATTTACATAAGTTTGGTTTAATTGCATATGTTGATTGAAAGGACAACTAAATAGCTTTAAAACAAAAAAAAATTTTGTTAAAATGTTGAAAAGTTTCGGATAGCATAAAAAAATTCCGTGGTAGTTTTGGTTTAGTTTAAAAAAAACTTACATTGCCCATAACTCAAAAAAAAAAGAGTTAGACCCCACTTTAAAGGTTATTTCTTCGTCGTTTTAGGTGTACTTTCATATATGACGGCGGCCGGTCACTTCGCCCAGGGACACATATCTATACCTATATATTGTTATATATCCGAGCATGAACTTTTCATACTTTCATTAATTACAATATACGATGCCGATAAGAAGACGACCTGACTGAGAAACTAACAATCATATCCTTAAATAATTGATATAAACTATAAAGTTATTAAGTAATTCATAGAGCTAATAAAGTAATAATAATAATTATCAGTGAGAAAATTAACAAGAAGGTGAAAACAATACATTTTACCTATGTATAAATATAAATATTTTCTTCAGTTTCTGGCTTTTTCTTTACGTATTTTAATCGTATTGTTTGAATTTCCAAAGAAAAAACCGTTGTAGGGTGGATGCATTACTTCCGGGAATAATTTGTACAGTGCGTCGAGGACACGATTTTTGACACGTCTTTGCATTAAAGTTGAGTACTGGGCGGCTACTGGTTGCAAAAATCCACCGATTGTCGTCTCCTTGCTGCAGTGTTTAGCCATTGTTACCCGAACTTCTTCATCAATGCTAAGATTTACATTCTGGTAAGTGTTTTTCGCAATTATTCCCATCATTACATTATCGTTGTTTGCGATCGGGCTTATGTTTTCTTTGTAACATATTCGATGGTAATAATCGCCAGAGTCTATGCATTTATATACCGATTTAAATATATTTATTTTACTACAGTAAATACATTTATGAAATCTGAATAAAATATTGGTTTTTTAGAAATTATGGACTCGGTTCATGGCAATATATTTTTTTTTGAAATTCGGTGCAAAGGTGCAATGGTGCATGTACAGAACAAATATTTAATTTTATCTGACAATTTAAATATTTTATATTTGGTACTATATACAAGTCTAAAAACTCAACAGTTGATTGGATAACATTTTGATAGTAGTTTACGAAACGGCCAAGGTAATATCTATTAGTGTAATATCATATATTTTACTTTAAAAAAAATTGAATTCTTTTTAAAAATTTATTTCAGACATTAAATCTGATGCATGACAATCAATCAGACCTATATTTGATTCAGATTTATCAAATCATCAAGGTAAACATTGAAATAAGTTTATACCCTTTACAAAAAGGAAATTGATTTCAATTATTCAATTCACCAAGAATATCTTCAGTCGACGATTGTTCACAATGGACTTTACAATTTATTTATTTAATCGTGGTCGTAGTATAACGTATAATCATAGTATTATTCTGTTGTTATGTTATGGTATAACATCTATGGTGGATCTATTATCATACTTATCATACTTATCTATGATCATAATATTGTTATTATATTATCAGACATCAGACATATTATTCTGTAGCAGCAGTGTTACAAGAATTTAAAATTAATTCAATTCAATTCCTTCAAAATCTAGATTAAAACTTAAAACTTAAAACTATGATTTCTCCGTCACCTACATCGTTTCATTCTATTTTTGTGTCTACAACTATAAGCTTAGCTTACAATTGCTTAACATGGTCATGAATTTAGAACTTAATAATTAATATGGCCTTTTTATAATTTATTAATAAAAATCATATTTATTAAGTATGCAAGCAAAAAAACGATTCATATTAATTTGGCTTCTTGTTTTACTATTCATTTTGGTTATGTGTTTACTAAAAATGACTAGAAAACCAGACACTTTGCTCCATCTGACCTACAATGCCAATGATGTGGAAAATCTACCATCTTTCATGGATGACTGGCATCAAAGTTTAGAAGTTGGTCGTCCTCCTGCTGCGAAAACCTATGAAGCTAGACAACAAATGCCATATCACACATCACATAGAAAAACAAACAAGAACTGCAGGTGTTTAATTATAGTTATAATTTTTAGTAAAATTTAACCCATTCTGTTGAACATAATAATTTTTTGATATATAGACTGCCTGTGCAAAAAATGTTCTACAATTTTTGAGGTTTTACTAACCATTTTAGGATCCCGAAATACACTTCAAATAAGTTCTTATTTCTAAGGAAGTGTATACTCGTACGTGACATTTGCACAGCGAGCATGTTTTTGTCTGTCACAAATACATGTTATTAGCACAGAAAGGGTTTAATTTTTTGTAATTTGTTATTTCAAAAGTAATGAGTTATGACATAGAATAAATATATTTTCAGAATGGAGACATGTTTTGACTCTTCGCGATGTGAAAACGATTTTCGAGTGTTTGTGTATCCATTGTCTGAATTAGAAACGAGTGGGTTAATGACTTCAACCCGTAGTGTTTTGTATCAGAAAATGTTGGATATTATCGTGGAGTCTAGGTATTACACAGATGAATACACCAAAGCTTGTGTATTTGTGATAGCTATTGATACTTTAGATCGAGATCCCTTGTCTCCAGACTACCTACGTAATATTCCTGTGAAAATGCAGAGACTCAGACATTGGAACGGTGGCCGAAATCACGTCATTTTTAATCTGTATTCTGGTTCTTGGCCAGATTATAATGAAGATGACCTTGGATTTCATACCGGAGATGCTATTCTAGCCAAAGCTAGTATGTCAGTCACTAATATGAGACCAGGATTTGATATTTCATTTCCATTATTCCACAAAGTGATTATATTTAACAATATTTTAATGTAAACAATTAAATATCATTTTTTTTCTACATAGAAACACCCAGAAAGAGGCGGTGAACCTGGTTTTGTTCGTTCCAATATATATCCTATTACTAAAAACTATAAACTGGCGTTCAAAGGGAAACGATATGTACTAGGCAGCGGGTCTGAGACTCGAAATTCTATTTTTCACTTACACAATGGAAAGGACACAATTGTAGTTACAACATGTAAACACGGAAAAAATTGGAAAGATGCTCAGGATGAAAGATGTGATGTTGATAATACTTTATACGAAAAGTAAAAGCAATTTAAAATCGTACAACAATTTTAAATAGTTACATTTTTTTTTTTTTTTTAGATATGATTATGGATCCCTACTTAAAAATTCAACATTTTGTCTAGTTCCTAGAGGCCGCCGATTAGGGTCTTACAGATTCTTAGAAGCTTTACAGGCTGGTTGTATTCCTGTTTTGCTGTCTAATAATTGGGCTCTGCCTTTTGATGAAGTTATAGACTGGAATAAAGCTGTGATATGGGCTGACGAAAGATTGCTGTTTCAAGTACCAGAAGTGATTCATTCAATATCAGAAACTAAACTTTTTGCTTTGAGACAACAAACACAAATATTATGGGAACAGTATTTTAACACAATTGAAAAAATTGTGTTTACTACGTTTGAGGTAATAATTTTAAAATTATGTGATGACTATATTTGAATTAATTGTAGTTTGGGTCATTTTCAGATAATTAAAGAGCGTTTACCTAAATTGCAATCTCGGGATGGCATAGTTTGGAATACATCACCTGGGGCTCTTGTTTCACAACATTCATATACTGAATATCTTAATTTTAACTTACCATTCAACTATCATCTACTGGGTAAACAACCCAGTCCTAATTTTACTGTAGTAATATTCTCACAACATAACAGTCTAAATACACCACTATATAGATTAGTTCATAACATAGCTGCAAGCAAATACTTAACTCAAGTAATTATATCGAGGTGCATAAAACTAACAGAACTAAATGCTATCACTTTTATTTTAGATAATTATAAATTCATGTACTGACAACGCTGGAAAAAGTGGATACCAAAAAATTGCTGGTATACAAATATTAATATCCTCTGGAAATGGCTGCAGGAGATTTGAACCATTGCCATTTATTAAGACTGAAGCCGTATTATCATTAGATGATGATGTAGTTTTAACAACAGATGAAATTGATTTTGCATTTCATGTCTGGCAATCGTTTCCTGACCGAATTGTTGGATTTCCAGCTAGATCACATTATTGGGACAACGGCAAGGTTAGCTTATTTAATCTTTTATTAACTGATATGATTCTTCGTACATAATATGAAACAAATAATGTTATCTATACTTGAAACTTAAAACTCCAATAAAATACCACTAAACATTTTTATAGTTTTCAATAGTTTTATTTAGCTTAGTCATAACTTTGTTGTTTTATAAAAACTAAACATAATTATTAAATATGACATAATATACGTGCAATTTAAGAATTTATCAACTCAAAATTAACAGGACTCTTGGTTATATACATCAAAATGGACAAATGAATATTCAATAATACTCACTGGTGCCGCTTTCTATCATCGATACTATAACACACTATATACTCAATGGTTAAGTCCTCTTTTAATCAAAACGGTTGAACAATCACATAATTGTGAAGATATACTCATGAACTTTTTAGTCAGTCATGTAACTCGTCGTCCACCAATTAAAGTATCACAAAGAAAACACTACAAAGAACAAACTAACAATGGAATGCCCAAGTAAGTAATGCACTAATTTAATTTGATATGTTATAAAATGTATAGTATTAATGTATATTTATATAGATCACCTTGGAATGATCCAGATCACTTTATGCAAAGACAAACTTGTTTAAACACGTTTGTAGTACTTTTTGGTTACATGCCATTACTTCAATCAAGTGTAAGATTCGATCCAATCTTATTCAAGGACCCTGTGTCAAATTTTCGAAAAAAATATAAACAAATTGAACTGGTATCCAATTAGTTGACTATTATTTGTTTATTTGTAAATTTTTTTTTTGACAACAATTATAAGGATTAAGGTAAATAGCAGTCTTTGAAATGTATTACTTTTAAATAAATAAACCTATAAAATGATTGTATTTAAAAAGAATTAAGGCATTCCATTACTATACTTCTAAGTTTGAGTCTCCAGTTCTTATCCATCTTTTCGCAGAATATATGAGTAGACTTATCATCCACTTGGATCAATGTGTCTTCTGATTTCTGAAAGCAAGTAAATAAAAAGTAAAAACAATAATAATTACTGTAAAAATCAAAAATAGTTAACTTACAAGATGTATGGTATACCCATGTGCATTGTGTTCAATTTTAGGGTCACTCACTCCTTCATTTGTCAATGCACGTAAAAACCTATCAATATCCAATTGTCCCCATTCATAAGTTTTTTTAAATAATGTTTCTAACAAATAAGGTTCAGTTGTCTTATTTGCTAATAAGTCATCTCTCAAAATCTAAAAAAATGTAATACAATGTTATAATATAATAGAGTATAATTTAACAATTTCAAATAATAATAAAACTTACGTCTAATTTATACTTATTATCTTTAGTGTCTAAAACAGCTGTAAATTTTGATGCTTTTAGTCCAGATTGTAATTCGTTTAGTGTAACACTCACCACCATTTCTGTTGTAAATGGTACATTAACTGTTTTTATATCAAGTTTCTCTGAAATAACTTCACCTCTTTTTATAGTTAATACTTTCCTGTCAATCTAAAATAATAATTATAATACGTGTAATTCAAATGTATCTAAAATATTTTGTTAATGACTTAATTTCTAGCATACTTGATCAATAACAAATTCATTTTTATGACCAAATCCAGTTGGTGGAATGGCATAACACTCAGGAAGAATTAACACAGCTGGCTTAAGATCTTTAATCATTTTGTTGGCCTGGGTGAAATTCATACTTGTATCAATAGGACAGTGCATAGCCTTCATAGATAGTGGTTGGAACGGAGCTAAAGCTTCTAAATATGGAAACTCTGGTTCTAAAATGTTAACAATTAGCAATGCTTCAGAAAAATGATTGATATTAAGACACATTATTAATTGATTCAAATTAAACCAATTGAATATGTGTTAATATTACTGCATAATTTCCAATTAGTAAAACATGAAAATCATGACTTTTGAAGAATTTACGATTGGTATTTTTACCAGTTAATAAAATCTAACGTTATAATTTGCTGTTCAACAAGGATTTGACTTACCTGTGAATATAATTGTGTTCTGAGGATTTGTACCCCAATATTCCACAAAATGTACAACATCACCAAATCGCAAACTAGGATGACCGCAAAATACCACACAAGGCTTAAAAAAAATATTAAGATATAGTTACAACTTGATAACCTAACTTGAAATGGTTAATTTTTACTTACTTGTCTTAAATCGTTCCACAAATCATCTGTATAGACATGTTTAAAATGCTTTAAACGCCCAGACTTTACTAATTGTGCATGTGGAAATGGTTCTTCTGGAAAGTATACTTTATTTTGTTTTGATTGAGACAGCCTAATCACATTGATCGAATATTTATTTAATATACTACTAAAACCTGCAGGCATATAATTTTTACTAACCATTCTGCAAGAATATTTGAATATTCTAAAGAACTATGTGCCACCGGAGAAATAAAATACATTGGAATTTGACCTAAAGCTGTACTGTCCAAGTGAGATGATAAGCATTCAAATAAGTCATAAACAACACCCGAAGGATAACATGGAATAAGGACTGAACCATTATTTCGCAATGTAACAGCAACCGACAAACATAGTTCTCCGAGCATTGAATCTGGATTAGCAGCGGGTGCTTGTGTTAAGCTACTTAACAGCATTAGATCAGCATTTTTTAAGTTAACTTGGTCCATGGGTCTTAGTTGCAAAAATAAACATTGAATTATTAATCATAATACAATTTTAATCTATTTAATTGTTCAATATTAAAAATATTACCTTGGATGGGTTGTCAATGTTGAAGTATTGCTAACATAAACTAATTTCTTACTTTCCAAATATATCACCCAATTACTGCTACCCAGGCAATAACCAGAACTAACAGCTGTAACAGTCAATGCACCTGTAATTTCCTAAAGAAAAATGTATAGTTGAGTAACTAATGTAAAAAAGGAAATTATAAAACTCACAATTTTTTGATCATAACTGATCATCTGCACACGTGTTAAACTTGAATTAACTTGTGCAAGGCTGTACAATTGTTTCCATGTATGAGGTTTGAAACTGTTACACAATGGTGGTGGGAGTAAGTGCAAGATTTCCTTCCAGTATTTGGCAACATTAGGTTTTGGTGACTGTTCAACAAAATCTACTAGTTCTTCAAGAAATAATCTAAAAACAAATTAAAATGTTACATAGTACCTATATTTATAATTATTTAACAATTTTTAATGTCTCACTTTCCTATATGTAAAGTCGGTTCAGTCATGTACACAACCCCTTTGAAACCAGTATTTTCAGTAATGAACGGTAAAGCCAACATGGTCATATAGTTGGATACCAATATAACATCAATATCAGAAAAGTCAACTAACTTTGTAAGTGGTGTCATAAATTCAGGTGCAGAATTTACAAGAACTTGATTAGTCATACATTCATTAAGTTCCTATTCAATACATTTTTAATATAATCATAATATTTAATTCATGAATAGTTTAATCAACAATTGAAATATAGTATACCCCTTCAATCTGTGGGTCTGAGAAGTTCTTAGGTATCCAAGCTGCTGCTTTATTTGGTTTCCAGTCTGGTATTGGATATAAAGGTAAAAAATTCAAAACACTGTGTGCTGATAGACCACAGTCCAACATTATTGTAACTGATTTTAACTTTATCACAAAACATGGTTTGTTCGGATCTTCACTTAAACAATACTGTTAAATTTAAAAAATAGTATAAATTATAAAAAGCAGATCAAAATTGTAAGTATTTTGTTTAGTTTTTAATCTTACCACTTTCATAATGATAGATGAAAAATCAAAAAATAAGGGCTGACAAATTAATTAACATTCATAATTTCACTATTGTTATGGATTGTAATACCTATCAAGCAATTTATTATAACACTTTCAACTTTTCATTGTTGTTTGTTTTGAAACATCTCATTGAGCTAATAAACTAGTAAATACTAAATAATGTTACTTGTTAGTTATTATTGTTGTACCCTATTCTGTGATATTGTTCTATGATGATATGAACCTAAATTTATTCTAACCTATTTTCTTAGAACTACCACCACTCGCCGGTATACCAGTAACAACAATACATATATGATAACATTCTGAATGTTATTGCCATCGCCGGACGGCGATATTATCATATTGCTCTATTATTGATAGTATTATATGGCCATGTTGTTATAAAGCCATAAAGGATACATTTCAGCGCATCGATATTTCAGGATTATGATTTATGGTTTTTCGGCACGGATTGAAAATGGAAATTGATTAACCAGCGTCCCGCGATTTTTTGTACCTGCAAATCTTCAACTTATACCTAACATTTTTTTTGTCACAATATTGCAGGATATTATCATGTTAATTCTTTCAGTTTTGTCATAATTACGTTATAATAATACATTTGTCTACAATTTTACTTTTAAAATAATACATTCGAGTAATTTTTGTAAATTAATCTTTTGTCTACAATGGCAAGCGCATGCCGAATATTTTGTCGAAACATAAACAATACACCATTATCAAAAATAATTACTACAAAATTACGCGTGTCTACAATGGAATTTATTCGACCTTATAGTCATGGTGAACTACAAGACAAGTCAGCTACTCTTAAACAAGGTGCTTTTGCTGAATTTTATGAAAAAACAAAAGAGAACAAACAAATTGTCGAAGAAGACCAAGACTTTGAAACGCTATTGAGGAATTCAAATTTTATAAATGTAATTTGCAACCCTTTATTATTTAAGTTTGTTCTTATTTGTTTTTCTTTAATAGCTTGGTGATCCCGAGGGTAAACAAGTGATCGGAACTATATTTCATATTGTTGATAATGATTTGTATATTGATTTTGGATGGAAATTCCATTGTGTTTGTACAAGACCAATTAAAAATGCCGAGTAAGTTTAATTAGCATTATTAAGTAGTAAGTACAGTGGTGGGATGAATATTTTTTTTTATCATGAGAGCCATTCACTGAATCATTGACCACCAGGATAGACAAGAATACTAACACCGGTCACCACTACCTAAATTTTATAGTAGAGATCCATGGTTTTATTTGTACCTAAATAAAAAAGCTTAATACCATAAATATATAATTACTTCTTACATGTATTGCAGAAACGACACAATAAATTATATGATTAATCACCTTCTTAATTCATTTAAAACTATGGGATCTTCCCTTCTGTTTACTATGTGTGCCTCTCCTTAATGTTTTTTTTAAAATGCATTTTGTATTTCAATAACAAAAAAACTTCTTTTTTTTTATTGCTTTGTTAAATATTAAACACTAAAACAATGAAACAATAGAAAACTTCTATATAATGAAGATGTATTATTAAAAGCTATTACTTGAAATCAATATAAATAAAATTGTATTTATATTTTGTTCATATTATTATACTGGTAGTTTTGCTTAAATATGCAGAGCCGTATTACCTCCTTAAAAAAACCAGCTATTTGTAAATAATATATAGAAATACTTTTATTTGAATTGAAAATATATTGTATCATTTTCATTGTTTATTATTATAAATTGAAGGTCATAAAATCTAAAAACCTATTAATAGTTATCTCGATGAACATACTATTTTAGTCATTCCTACCACGGTCACCGGTTCAGTGAAACTGAAGTTTAACAGTTTAAATTGTAACATGTAATAGATTGGCTGGTTGGAAAGAGGGGACCGAGGAGAATAAACCTCTGCAGTAAAGCATTTGCCATAAATTATCTTTGATAGTTGAGTGCTGCTAAGGGGCCCACCACCTAATAGGCAATAGTTTCATAAAATATGTTATTACACTACCACTGGCTATGAAACATTTTGTCTTATATAAAATCTATACTAAATTTATTTTTGTATGTTTATAGTTCATATGTACGAGGATCACAAGTAAAATTAAGAATCAAATCCTTAGAATTAGCTACCAGGTTTTTGGGCTCTGAAAAAGATTTAACTCTACTTGAAGCAGATGCAGCTCTTTTGAGTCTTCATAAACCAATAAAATATTAGAGAAACTGTATTCTATGTTTTTATTTGTTATTGGTTTAGTAATATGTTTGGTATGTTACTTTTAAATACTTGTAAAATAAAAGTTTAATTTAAATTAATTGACTTTATTATTAATTTATATTAAGGTTGGAAGTTATAGCCTCTTATATGAGTTAGGATTAGTAAAATAATAAATTTGGATACAAAAAATATTAATTATTTAGACCTCTTAGTTCAGGTGTTCCTAATTTTCATATTTTTTACTTGATTTATACAATGTAATACTTGTGGTTGAATGATGATATATGATGAAAATACCCTAAGTTTAAAAGTGTAAGTTAGTCTGCCATATCCCAGACACATAAAAATCTTGCATTTAATTTTCCAAATCCATAGTACTTGTTAGTTATTACTAGTGTTGTTTACTAAATCCAATTGCCCATTGTATTTGAATCATTTTTTGAATTAACAAATTCAGTTTTTAGAAACCTAAGATTGAATTAACTTGTTTGTTCAAGATTTGTGTATAAAATGTTCAAACCGAACTAAAAATATTAAATGACCATAATTAAAAATAAATTATTGTATTTTATATTGTTGAGGGCAGCTTAAGTGCTCTAATATTCTATCACTACACCTAAAGTTAAATAATGCAATAGAAACCAGACAGCTGCATACTATGTTCACATATTATCATTAAAACAGTTAAAGATATATTTGTTTAATGGTATAAAAATAAAATATCAAGCAACACATATTTTTGGAAATCTACGAGGTTATATGTACAAATGTTTAATGTATATGTTTATGCAATGATGTAAATAATAGCATGACACTACATAATAATGATATGTCATAATAATTACTATTATATTGTATCAGACGATACAATTATATAATTTTCAGTATTTATGATTATATTAGTAAGGAAGTTTGAGATTTATCGATTACTTACATTAAATACTAAGTATTTATTTGAGTAAGCACTATTTCATTAATCTAATATCCCAATTAGTTTTCTACTACTCTATATTTTTCTTAAAAATATGGTACCACCTAATTTGCTGAACCTTCAGGCCATATCATCATAATAAATTATAGATCTTATGATTTGTGTGACAGATGATTCATATAGGTATTTTAAATTCTAGACTAGATTTCTATGGAAATATTGTTAAGCTGATAATTAATTTCATAGAAATTAGCAATTAAAACAGTGTTTCAACCTGTGGTTGCGACCCAAAATTGAGTCGTAAAATATTTTTTTATGTCTTGTTATGTAAATTAATAACAATAGGAACATAAAAAATGAATTTAAATATAAGTATAATCTTTATATTTAATAGAGCTAAGTTTTAAAAAAAATGTATATTTGTTGGTTGCTATAACAAAAAGGTTGAGAAACAGATTTAAAGTAGGTATGATAGCGAAGGAGAAAATATGATGAAAATATACAATTAAAACAATATAATTATAATAATAGCAAGATTGTTTTATATCAAACAAGAAACGTATACTGACATACTGTACAATACTTTATTCAGGTAATTAAAATATATGATAGTTGAAATCAATATATTTATTTATTTATTTAAAACATTATGGGCAAAGACCAATTACATATTACATGTTATATATTGTATATTCAACAAAAATATAACAATAAATACCTATTATTTGTAATACATGAATAAAACAGGTACAGTTAATGTGTCTCTAACACGAGTTATTTTATGTGTAAATTGGTTAAAATAAATTTAATTATTATAATATTCATCTTATGAATACAAAATAGTCAGTATAATACATTAAAAAAAATTACAAAAATGTGTGCCTAGTTATAAAATAAACAATTATTTGTATTCTAAGTTCTGAACTTTGGCCAAGAGATCTCCTAAAATAGGGGGAAAAACAATTCTGAAGTTCTGTTAATGAAAGGTCTCCTCTTCTTCACGTTAATATCTTCTATATTGTTATCCTTATTACTAATTGATTTTTATTGTAAAACAGATTGAATATATTTGAATAAAAAAACAAGTTTCGAACTTTTGATTTGAAATTTTAATGTTGATTTATATTTAAATATTTCATATTGTTCTTAAATATTCAATAGCTTGATGTATAAATAATTTTTTCATACTCTCGGAATGTAAAAAAAAATATTACCACACAATTGCAGTCATAACTTGTGGGAATAATATACATGATATTGTACGATACATGTTTATGATTATCACGTCATATACCAATAACTTGACAGATTTCTGATAATTGTTTAACCCTTTTAAACTAAAAAGGTAATTTTACCTTATGCCTTTGAATGTGGACTTTTTTCCTTTATTGCTACGCCTTTTTGGTTTAACTTGTTCATCATCAATATCATTTTTAGATTCGTCATAAGAGGTCTTAAAACCTTCCTGTATACGCTGTCGAGCTATTCGAGAACTATTTCTACTACTATAAGAATAAGTGCTTTGGTGAGGATTCATACACAATGCTAAATGCTTAGATAATAAAAGACACTTCACTGGTACAAAACATTTGGGACAATCAACTTCCTGAGTTGGTTTAGTGATATTCAAATGTTCGGCCATATGTACTAAGGTTGGAGTATGACAATGACTTCTGTAATTAGAATCAAATCGTCTTGGATCAAGAACCCTTAATTTTAATTCCTTATGAATATTAAATATAGTTTCACACAGCAGCTCATCAATGATTAAAGTTACTGATTTTGTAACTTTAGGAGTGAAACGGCTTAAGATAGACTCCTTAATAGCTCTTAATTCTAAAATACGACTACTTTCTTCTTCATTGCAGTCTTCTTTATTGCAGTCTTCTTTTTTTTTATCATCTTCTTCGTATGACAAATGAATACGCATACCATTATTTTCCATTTATAATGATTTAAAGGATCTGAAAAGTAAAACAAACGTCATTCATGTTTTTCAAGGTTTTTCAAATTGAACGTGAACGAGGTTTAAATTTTAATGAATTTGAACAATTTTTAAGACGCTCAATTTATTTTTCACTTAATAAATACATGTTTGAAATATATTAGTTGATTATATTTTTTGATAACGTGTTCACATTCGTTTGTAAAAAACACAAAAGTGAGCATGAACAAGCTCCTTTTATGGCTAAACATTAACAAATTCAATTTTTTAGTGAATGTTATAAATACTGAATTTGCACTTACAGCCTCTTATTGACGTGTCCGCAATCAAAATAAAAATAAAACCTGTTATTCATATAGAATTGGAATTTTTAATGGGTCACAAAATGCACGGCAGAGCAGGGTGTCATTTGTATAAAATTTTAATTGGATGATTATTTACATAATATTTTATTTGAATAAATTATTATTCGGATGATTTTTTCTCAATTATTCGAATAAAAAATATTTGAATGATTTTCAACTGATTATTTGGAAAAAAAATTTTTCAACTACGATTATTCAAATTAAACATTATAAGACTTAATTTTAAACATATTTATTCAAATAACTGTAGTTGAAAATTATTTGAATATTTTTTTTATTCGAATGATTGTAAAAAGATCATCAAAATATTTTTTTATTCTAATACATAATATTTATTCGAAATATATTAAGTAAACAACAATATTGTATAGTTTGAAGACTATAAACATACAATTTAGTTCTTAGCCAAAAACTTTAATTTTTTCATATGAATTTAATATATACTTCCCTTTACATAGAAAAATATATTTTATTCAGGACAATTTTACAGATTTGTTTAATCAAACAATCATAATTAAATGAAAATTAAACTGATCAGTGAGAGTAAGTATGGTGTATGTCATACGGTTTAACAATAAATTAAATAATATACTTACTTGTAATACTTGTGAAATTCGATCATTCACGAAAAAAAATTAATTTTACAGTAGCCAGACTCCAGAGCCTGATTTGATCAACAATTGGAATAATGGAATCATCAATACCTTGATCTGTATCCTATGGTTATCATCAACTCCCATTTTGTTATCAATATTTGTTATCAACAGAAAATAATAAATCATATTATTATAACATATTTACATATATTTGAGAAATAAAATATATAATTGTTAGTTGTTACTTCATTATTTCTTCAATATAAATAATTACATTTTAATATTTATGTATAATATTTATGAAACTCTTTCATTATGACTGAAGCTAGCGAAGAAAATATAGTTTTAGAAGGATTCTTGTGTCCTATATGCAAAGTTGACTTTGGTTTAGACCTTAAGTTATTTTTACATTTTCAAGAAGCTCATAGCGAAGATCAAGATCTAGTCAAATCATTTAAAGGTAAGTATGATTATTCCTGTATACACCTCAATATCCGTGTAGTAATATATATGTTTGGTAATTTTTTTTTTATTTAGATTTATTTGGTAAAGCTAAAGAAAAAATTTTGAAGAATGATATTGGGAAAAAAGAAGAACGCTATTATGTGTGGGAACCTCAAGAAATAGGTATGTTTTATTTACTCATTAGCACATTTTGTCATAATTATTCATACTATGTTTAATTAATAGGAGAAGTCCAGTCCCACTTTCAGTATTTTAAACACTGTCGGAATAAGTGGGTTGAACACTTCGTAATGGAAACAAATAAAACAGTCGTACGACTTGAAAAGTTACTCTGCAACTTACCTCAAGATCCTAATAAACGAAAAAGTATATTTTCCTAATGACATTTTTATAAAATATCAAATTAAAAAATAATATGAAATATCTGTTGTCTGTTTATAATAATATAGCTCATGAACAAACTATAGTACATTGGTTAGACGGTACAGACGTAACACGATGTCCAGATTGCACTAAGTCATTTAACATAACAAGACGACAACATCATTGTAGATTGTGTGGTTCTATTGTTTGTCATGAATGCAGCTGTTTTTTACCATTGTCTAAAGCATGTTGGTACATTTAAAAAATGATAAAAATTAATTTAATCCATGAAAAATTTAGATCCATCAAATTAAAAATTTTTTATTTTGATAGATGAAACGATTAATGAAAATGGTAAAAATCAATTGACTTCTGTAACACAGAATTCACCAAGTTTTCGTTTATGCGTTCATTGCGGACAAGTGTTAGAAAACCGCGAGCAAATCAAATACCGTGACCAAAAGCCTCTCATGTGTGACTATTATGATAAAATCGTAGAATGTCGTAATAAAATTGAAAATGATCTGTTAATTAAATTCAACCAATCATATAACCTATTAAAGTAAAATATTTACCATTAATTTTATGTACTAAATGAAAATTATGATCATTATTTTTGTTATTGTTATAGAGAAGGAGAATCCTCTTATTTGACAGAAGCCAACAAAATTAGAAGTGATATAGTTAAACTTGCTGAGACAATAGATGCCCTTAGGTCAACACTTTAAAATTTAATCATACTCATAAAATTTTATTTTATTTTATTAATTTGCGTTATTTTTATATAATTGTTGAGTAGTAATAGGATATTGAAATTGGACAATGATACAAATTCATCAAAGGTTACTACTAAAAATATTAGATTGGCTATGATACAATGTGTTCAATCAACTGTACTTGCAATACCCGCTCTTCCTTCACTGAAAGAAATTGAAGAAATTGCTCAGAGAAAACGGTAAATATATTAATATTTTTAATATTTATAATAATAATAATAATAATTTAAATGAAATTTAGAAATAATTAATGTTAAAATAAATATTTAGTGAAGCAGCCGAGGCACGTCTGCGCAATGGTCAAGACACAGATAAGCCTAAAATGAGTCCATCAGTTTCTAAGGGACACAATACACAAAAAAATGTAATTTAAAAACATGGTCAAATCATTATTTACTTGTTCATGAGAATCTGATTTTAGATGTTAAGTGTTAATATTATATATTGTTTGTATGTAAACAGGAAATTAAATTAAGACTTGAAGATGGTTGGAGTCCTATAACAAATGCTAATGTCAATTCTGACAATCCTGTGGTGGAACAGATGAACATCATAAAGAACTACATTAAACAAGCCAAAGAAGCCTACCGATTTGATGAGGTTGCAAGTCTTGAAAGGAATTTACAAGAGTTGAATGAAGAGTACTTCAAAATGCAAAATGGTAGTGGAAATATGCCAGGTTATTCTACAAAAAATTAAAACTAATTCTAGTCCAATAAAAATGGCAAATTTAATAATTATCACAAAAAAATAACATTAAAAAATATGATTATCGCTATTCGATTACTCTTATAACGTGTCTTAATATATCACAAAGAATGAATAAATATCATTATTTTCCCCATGTTTCTTTTACTTATTATTAAAAGTTTATGATAATGAGTATTATAATAATATACATTCATAAATAAAATTATTCAACTTATATCTGACAAAAAAAAAAAAAAAATAAGTCACTAATGCAATCTTATTTGTAAAATATTAAATATATATGGTTTAAAATATTAAAATTTCAAGGAATGGTAAATTTCCTCTAATTAAAATCTGGAACTGGATCACGCCAGTATATAAACTGGTTGTAGTCCAACTCTTGCATGGGTAACACGGGGAACATTTCATCCACCATTGTACTCATATAAGTATATCTGAAATAAAAATATAAGTATTATACTAAATTGTCAAAAAGTATTTCAAAAAATCTGTTAAATTTTCCTCGCATAAAGACAACATTGTTTGACTTCAGAGAAAATAAATTTTTCATTGAAATAGACGTGTTAGGTGTGTTAAAGATTAAATATAATTGCTATTTGAAGTCTGAAACATAATTACGGTTTGGTTGTTTCTTAGATACAATTTTGTATTTAATAAAATGTTTTGAGAAATATTTTAAATTTAGTTGTGGATTTCAAATCTGTTTGGTATCAACCTTTTTACTTCTGTTTAACAATTATCAATTAACAAATTAATTAAAAAACAATAAAATATATTACGCGATTTTTAAATGTCATTAATTAGTTTAGTATTATTCATTGAATAAATCATCAACACATATATGATATTGTTAATTATAAAATAATGAGTTTATAGTTTTTTTTACATATTAGATTTTTATTTAATTTACTTTATTTTTAGTTAATTTAATTTTAATTTTAAGCTGATTATTGTAATAAGGCAACCAGACAATACAAATAATTATATATTTAAATTTTGAAACTAAAAAAATATAATAATATGAGTGTTAATCATAAGCGAAAATTGAAAAACTTTTTAGAGGATGAACACTTGCCTCTATTTTTTCATAAGCTTTAATGTTGACATAAATAAAATAATATCCCCCCCCCCCCTATCATGCCAATGATGTTGATGTATTTGAAATTTGGATTATGAGTTAATTATGGTTATGCACTATTACTAAGTCCCAAAAGATTCTCATACTGACACAAGTAGCTTTTAATGATGACAAAACAATTGAGTTTTTTTTTATTACCAAACTATTGGGACCATATAATTATTCATTTGGTAACAAAAATAATTTTAGTAAAATTACAATTGATAGCATAATAGTTAACATCTCATGCATACCCCAAATATAATGACAGACCCTTACCAAATGTTTCACATTCAAAAGATGTGGTACTAATGGTATCCCTACTGCTACTGATGACGTTACAATCGTCTTCAACACGGCTTGTAACGTCATCGCCGCACGCCAATACCGGAAAAAGATCATTAACAATACAACTCTGGCCAGTATAACTGAACAAGAATAGAAGACACATGAATAGAAAAACGGAAACAAGTATTTATAGCTAAAAATAAAAGGTGAAATTATACTTACGAAGATTGGAACGTTTGAGTTAATTCGTGTTTCAATTCTCCCCTGTGATTTATTGTGAATATTCTTGATATTGGTATACCAATAGCTTGGTAAGACCAAACATCCTAAATAAATATTCAAATTAATATATTTTATTAATAAAAAAAAAATGAGTAAGACAAACATTTATTTTATTTCCATAACCAGCGTAAAATGGTTTATTTTCAGTAGGAAATAAAGCTTGAATATCTTTGAGACAAGAGATTTTGAATTCTTCAGGTTTTTTCTCGATGACTTCGCGATGAAATGCATTCAGTAAGCTAGTTGGATTTAATAGTACAGGTCCTTCTGGTAATGATAAATCTTCCTGTTTGATACTTTTTAAATAATCCCTAGTAACTCTTGATTGGCCAATAGCTCTGGCTGACAAGTATAATAATTTATAACCATTGTCTTTTATCTTTGTAAACAATTTAGCGACACCACTTTGGGCCCAATCTTTACCGACTATTGGAAGTATATGGCCCAGCACATCAGATCTATTTAATTAAATAATAATGTTATTTTATTGTAAATGAAAAATAAAATACATTTACGCTTACTTAGTAATGGTTCCATCAATGTCAGATATAACAATTTTGTCATCATACCGCCATTTGAATAAGAAACATTTGCAATGACTAGTACCTTGATAAGCCGTCGTAACACTAAATACAATTTCATTAGATCCTTCCCTTAAATTTAATTTTGCCTGAAACATAATATCTATTACTTAGCAAGTAATATTTGTATTTTTTGTCTTTGTTGGTTGTAATAGGTTGAAAATAAAAATATTACACTTTAAAATAATTCATTAAACCTCTCCCCGCCAGTGTGCTTCACTAATTAAAATACTATTACATATTATATAGCAAACTACTTAAAACTTTAATTTTGTTTGAGAAAATACAATAATATGATAATTGACACTTTTTAATACTCACAATTTGTTCAGAAGTTAATCTCAAAGTTTTTCTACATATATCATTTTTATCTTTTGACTTCAATGACAGTTTTGTAGTTTCCAACTCAAGCTCAGAATCAGTAGAACTATAGCACCGCTGTCTTTGACTACATAGAAATATTTATAAACAATTTAATTAAAATTACAAAAATAACATTTTAAAATATAAACTTACATATAGTTGGACGGTCCCAATTCATTGTCTATTTTACCATCAATTTCTGATTTAAGGCATTCGTTTATGTCATTACTATGGATAAGTTGCTCTGACAAATTATTGGAATCATTTTTTAAAATGTCAATATTTCCCTCTGTAAAATGTATATAGCATACATATATATTTTTGAAACTAAACATTAATATTTTTAAATTTTAATTCATAAATATTGGGTCTTAAAACCAGTTTTACACTCCAAAAATCAAGATTCAGTGCCTAACGTCTTTAGTGTTATTCTGGTTAAATACAAACACCAGTTTTAATGTTTTTTTTTAAATGTTAGTTACTATTCTGATTTTGTAGTGAAGGAGTTTTGTTTTAAACTGGTTTTTTCCAAGCTTTTGTTTAAGCTAAAGTTAAAATGTTGAAAATGAAACATGACTAGTTACAAACTGATTTCCAAAACCTGTTATATGCCCTTATAAATATGTACAATATACTCATATATAGCTATATATATGTATAATTATAAAGAAACATAAATACAAGATTAATCTATATTTAATCTGAAATTTGATTTACAAAAATTTTGAACATATTTAATAACGTGTAAAGTATTTACCTATTGGAGTAATTGATTTAGTATCTTTACTAGCACGACTCCAATTGAACCAAGATGTATAACCTCGATTAAGACCTTTAGTGTTCTCTGCTTGTACTTTGGCTTCAGAAAATTCATTCTATAAATGGTCATATTCATATATTAGTATTATTATTGTTCTTTATAATTTTTATTGAAATAATGATGCGTTCAATCACAAAGCTATAGGCACCTGAGGTAACAATTTTTGATATGCAGCTATTGAGATCAAATGAGGCAAAGCAGTCTGGCAACTATAAAACTTTTTATTTACGCGCACCACTAAATTAGGATTCTTCACAAGATTATTGAAATCAGAAGTGAATTCTTCATAAGAAATCTGATGCTTGGAAAACTTCTCTTCATTAATATCATTACCATTCAGAGAATCTAACTCTCCACATAAGGAAACTGATACATCACACGGTGAACTATAAAATGATGTTCAGTTAAAATCGATAAATTCTTAAATTTAAGTAATTCACTTACTTTTGGTGGAACTTTTCATCAAAATCACTATCAATTGACTTTGGTCCTTCTCTATCCATGCTTGTAGGTGAATGAGATAAAGAAGCACCTCTTCCAGATTCCACATCATCATCATCTATTTCATCACCGACTTTAACTTCTTCCTGTCTTGGTGGAGTTTGGTTGTACAAATACAATTCTAATACCTTAGGATCTAATTGATCTGTACATAAATCAGCTAAATATATTCCTCCATTCTCTGAAGAATTATGGCGAATGTGTTTAGTTTTTTTCATAAAACCCAACATATTCGCCAACATTGACCTCTGATTAGCCGCTTCTTGTTTTTTGGAAGCTTCTTGCAAATTTAATTTTGAATCATTAGAATCCAAACTATTGCGGCGTGCCGGTGGTGTAGGTAATTCTCCCCAACGCCAAAATTGATGATCACTAGAGCCATTATTCAAATCTGTTTTATTAATAGCAGATATGCCAATAAGACTCTCAACCGCTGAATTTCTGGCTCTTTGTTGAAGTTCATACTCAGTATCAGACTGAACAGCAGCACAACTATATTTCACCTCGCCGAAACTAAAAATAATATTATTACAATTAGGTAGAAATAACTTAGAATGTTTCTGAAATAACATTCTTACTTTGAACTTGGGGATGCATCTGTATCACTAAAGAAATGTAAATCATTATCCAAATATTGTTCTTGGGAACGGTCGTCATTATCTATTAAATAAGTAGGAGCGGGAAGATCACAAGATCCAAATGTGTTTCCAAGTTTCTTGGTTTCATCTTTAACCTTTCTTTTGATTACAGATTTTTTGCGGCGACGTTTACGCATTTGTGGTCGAGGTGGAGAGTCTTCAATTGGTCTAAATTTTAATGGTTGAAAATCTTGAGTAGCACCATCTACAGTTTCTGCACAAAATGTTTTTGGAACAACTTGTTCCGAGTTAATAGCATATTCTATAGTTTTTCGTCTGTAAAATCAAATTTAAGAATTAGTTTTTTTAATTATAATATTCAAAAACATATCAGTATTTTTATTCGTTTGTAGTTCTCACTCTTCATCGTCAGGTATTGGTGAGCATGCTAAATGAGGTGGTATTGTTTCAATATCATCTTCTTCTGATATTTCTTCAACAAAAAATGCTTCACCAGATTCTCCAAGTTTCATATGAAGTTGAACAGGTTCTCCATTAATTTCGATTTCAACCTAAAAATTAGTTAAACAAATATAGATTGATTAATATTGAGGTTAAAATATTTTTAAAAAGTAGACAAACAGCCTCTACTGTACATTAGGTAGGATTGAGTGTACATTTTCTTTAATTGGGTCCAGGTAATGGTTGTGTTAAAATTGAATCCAATAATTTACCCTATCATATATAAAAACACAATTCTCAACATAAATGGCTTATCTTTTTGGTAACTATGCAAAACCAAATAAATAAAATACTACAGTTTTAACTTTTAACTAATGTTTGTATTTTTTTTCCCCAATTATTTTGAAATGTACTGAGAAAATTCTACTTATGAAGTACCAAAGCACCAAAGTACAAATTAGATTCAATTTTCCAATAAAAGTCTTTCAAAGTAGATGATTAGAGCATTTTTTTGACTAAAAAAATAAATACACAATGAAGGCAACAATTAATTAATATCAGAATACAATATAAGTAAATAACTCTTATGAGATCAAGAAAGTAGCAAGATATAAATATTTTTACCTAAAAGTTGCTCACTTCATACAATTATTTATAAATCTTAGTTTCAGATAGTTATACTACTGTTAAGTCCAAACTAGAACTAACATAAAGTGTTTAGTTTTGTTCTACATTTCTAATATTTCAAAATATGTACTTGGAAAGTAAATATTTTTAATATTATATTTATTAAATAGTATATTTGTTGTCAGAGAATTTTTCTTCTTATGTATGAGTAATAACAAAAATTGCTCTTAGAATATTTAAATTACTAACAATTATTTAAGAAAAACTATTTTAATATTATTCTTAAAAACAATAATTTATACTCAAATATCTGAATTGCAAGTTAAGGTTTGTTAAGTACTGTTGTGTGTATTTAAATTTATTCGCCAATAAACTATAGCAGCAGAGGAGTAGTATAGTCAAAACAGAACCTCTGCAGTCAGTTAAACAGAAAAAAAAAGTATTGTTGTGAGTAACTTAGACATGCTTAAGATAAGCAATTTAAAAAACATCAAAAGGTTTTATATATTTTCAATATCATAAAAATAATTATGAAAATGAAACTGTTTTTCTGAAAATGTACTTGTATAAGACATAAAATAATTATAGAGCTATAAATACAATTAAGTCATTCAGTTATTGCATTTGAATATATATATATATATATTTCAATATAATATTGTATTATATATATATTGTATATTATATGTTATAATATACAACATTTCTCAATATTAATGTGAGTTACAAATTATTTAAATGTAATAATCGTTGATTAAAAAATTATTTTAAACCAATACAATAAATTATTTGTTGATCAATTGTTACTACACTAGACATTTTTCACAATTTGAATTAATAAACTAATATTTATAATTCATGTTTTCAATAGATGAATAAATACATATTTTAGCCATGGTATTAACTTGAATTACATACTTTAGTAGGTACCAATGTAATAGAAACTTTAGATAACAGAGACCACAATATTATCAATAATATTTATAACTAATGAGGATCGTGGTTTTTTTTTAAAGGTCAGCTATTGAAAACTATAAATACACAAATAAATCATAATCTTTCTACAGTATTTACAATAATTAATTATCAAAATGATTTTTTTTTTTATAAATAATTGAAAATATATAACTAACCTTTAAAAAGGTTAATAAAGAGATAAAAATCATATATTAAAAAATATATCATTTATAATTTTAAAAGGAACATAGGTAATATAAGTAAATAAGTTATAACAGTAACATTGTAGTTGAACTATCATCAAATAACTTGAGATAGCAAAAGAAACACTTGCTCCACTGAACAATGGTTTTAAACATGTCGTGGGGCCGGTCCAATGTGTGATCTACAGATTATCGTCTACCTACGATAAAATTGGATAGGTAGAAGTAAATTTACTTTAATTTAGTGGTACAATCTGTGCTGACGTGCTGTGACGTGGTTGTTGATCAGTTTTCAAAAAGACCAAAAATGGGAGGTTCTGGTTACATTGTACAGTTAGCTGAATCCCTCTTACAAGGGAAACAAAAATATAATCGAGGTCACTTATAATGAGGTGATTACGACCCATGACGATAGCTACAAAACTTCAAATGATGGAAATGAAACTCCGGTAGAAAATAACAGAAGAAATTATGGAAATAGTATACAAGGACTGTGGGTATTAATTATAATAAAAATAAAAAAATCTTTGAAATTAGATTTGGTGTCTAAGTTAAAATAAGGTTAAGAATATATTTTAATATTTTATAAAAATAATATAATCTATACCAATGGTATACAGAAAAAAGAACATTTAACTATTAATAATAATATTATTTAAAATATTTTATAATAGGTATAGGTACATAATAATATTGTAACTTCTTTACATTTTTTCATTACTAACATTTTATTAAAATTCTTTTATTTTAACTTTAACTTATCTATAACTTGGAGCTATTTTAAAAAAATAAAGAACATTCACCCTTTTAAACTGTTAAGCAATGTATATATTGTATATGTGTATACCTCTGTATACTGATAAAGGAAGTTTTACTTACTATTTTCTCTCTGCTCCGTAGCACCCCGATCTTACCAAAGCGAACATGAAACGGCGAACAAGTAAATGTGCCATCCGGCTGTTCCACCACGACAATATCGATGGCTCCGGTTAAGGTGGCCGGGTTGATCTCATTGTACACATGCCGAAAATTACTGATGAATTTCCCTAAATAATTCATCCTTTTTCCGGGCAGGCCTTGTAAACAGCAATCACTAAAATTATAACAAAAACACGAAATTAGCACGTTTAGCACAGAATGATTTATCCAGAATTATATGCATTGCTATGCGATCAGCTGAATAAAAGGTACACACTTAAAAATCTATTGATCGGTATTTTAATCCACGCGAGTAGTGACTAACTGACGAGTTGTGCACAGGCAATCGAGAACTACAAATATTTATCAAATATTAATAATAATATGCATAGGCATGAGAGTTAAAAATAACATAAAGCAACGATCGGACGATGTCTTTATAGTTTATTACGCTCGCGCGTCACGCTGATTACAGTTGTTTAGTTGTAATAGTGTTTAGATTTGAAGACGCTGAATGCCGATGATTTCGATTTCACCGAACAGCTGATTTGCACTTGACGCGCACGGCGCACAAAGGAGGAGCGATCGCAACGCGCGTTGCGTCTGTGTCAATAGTCAATGCTGTTGTAGTGTAATACTGTAACACTGAATACTCATTTTTCGCTGACCATCTCGTGTATGCTGTATTGGTGTGTACACGGAATGAAACGTCGAAACGCAACTCGCCAGTCGCCACTTGCGTCTTGCGTAGTTGCGTACCACAAGTGTTCAATACTTGAGTACCCTCTAGTGTTGGGCATTGGGCAAGCAGAGAAGGCAGCTGTGCAGACCGCGGCAGGTGAATCGGTCAAAATGAGTTGTAATAATGATATGATATTATTATTAATTATTACTTATCTAAACATTTTCCAAGGACAAAAAATGTATAATATTGATTTTATCAAATTAATATTAATTCAATGTTTGAATTAAAAATTATTGATCCGACGCGGGTGAAGCGGTAACCGTACAAAAAGCTGTTGTACACCATTTTGACAATACGTTGACAAATAAATTATCATGTTTACACTTACACCTTCGTATTACAATATAGGTATAAGAGCCCTGTAGATTGCACTAACAACCTACGTACTTATCAAAAGTCTATACGTATTACCTACATAGTACATATATTAATTATTATGTAATACGTTTTACGTAATTTATATGTATGAAAATTATTGGGTACATCGTACATGGCCCGTAGGTATTAATAATATATTAAACTCAAATTTTAATCGATGTTTTTGATTTTTACTATTTTTTTTTTTTTTACATTCATTTTGAAAATATACAATGTGGTGGGTTAATTTTAATATTAACATTGGAATATAATATTATTTACTCCAAACTTGTAACTTTTATGTTATTTTAAGGTTCTTAATAACCATCTAGGTAGGTCGTAGGCAGCTTACAATAAGTGGAGGGATGGAAAATGTGAATTATAAAAAGTGGAGGGATGACATCCCACCGTATCCCCTCCCCCACTCCAATCACTGGTCATAGGTATCTCATACGAGTAAACATGATACATGTCGATTATTGGGTCTCAAAGTCTCGTTAATATGAACAAAACTTCACAGGCTAATCCAAAATACGTGGCAATCCGGACGGACTAAAGCGTACTAACTAGGTACATACGTACAACTATGCATGGCGCGTCACAGTGCTATTCTTGTATTTTATTTTTTGAGAATTAACACCACTACATTTAAATATATATTTTCTAGTAGATCCGTCCAAGGATTTTAACAATTGTATTAGTTGTATCGTAATAATATTTTAATTAATAAAAATCAAATTTTAGATTTAAATTACACATAATAGACACGGATGGACGTCGTCTTACTTGGTTACCTCACATACAAATCACCAACAATAATAAACTCCACCTTCCTCGTCCTATAGCTGTAAAATGACTTGGATACCAAACTATTCATATACAAATTATTTGCTAACTGCTAAGACCTATTTGGATTTTGGAGACGAGGTGTAGCTAAAATCCCCAATAATCCAATACTAACCGTATTCAGATAATTTAGTTCAAAGTCTTTTGCATGTTATATAAACTCAATAAAAGCTCCATTCTAGTCATTGTAAGTCTCTAATGATTCCCTTCACAGGCCCCACGGCCCACACCGATTTAAAAAATACTCATTGACACTTAGTAGTCATCACTATTAATGAACTGGCTTAACTTCACTATAAATATTTCAATAGCTGACTATACCTCACCATTCCAATTCCAATCCACTTATAGCTAAAATCTCGTCTCTCATTAGTAACATCCCAGATAACCCCAAAAGAAGATTAAAAATACAGTTGTATTGTGTCCTGCTTATCTATACTTTTATTAATATATAAAGTTCAAAAGCTGCAAATGCATTTTTTAAATATTTTTTCCTGTGATTTAAAGTTAATTTGATGGAAATAGTTTCGTTTAAAATCAAAATTGTTCATCAACATAACCTAATTGTATCAAGTACCTTCATTCTCTTTATATTTACATTTTTTTTTCAAATATTATTTCTATAACAGTTGATCCGCCTATTATTTCGATGTTATATAAAATGCCAAAAAAAAAAATCCAGTATTGGCCACTGTACACACGAGGGGTCAAGAGATTTCGTTGTCATGTAGAAAATGAAACGAGTGCCAATAGGGCAATCCGTAATGCTGGCGAACGAATTTCGTCAACAAGAACGTCAAACACATTCTACATTACAGCTAACAGAAAAAATTGCTCTCTGTCAAAATAATATTGAGCAACGAGAAATCATTAATTTACCACAGTATCCATAATGGCTTAAAGAAATATCAGCAATTTACCGATGCTTCAATGTTCAATTGATTATGCAAATGATGCTCATGTTTCTATTGGCAGTATGAGTAAAATTTGTCAGTATGGCTAGGTAATAAAATGGCCTACTAAAGCTACCAGCCGTTGCTGCTGTACTGTGCCGGAGGAAAGTTAAATTGGACGAAATTGCACCAGAACCATTAAAAAGTTTCATTGGTGGCACTATGATAAAAATAAATAAATTATAAATTGTAATAATTAATACATGTTATGTGATTATAGTGGGGCTTGGGTTCTTCTTCACACTGAATCTAGAACATAGTACCTATACAGTCAATACACGTTGTAAATACTTTCAAGTTTCAAGTTGAATGTACTCTAATTCGGACGACTCGACTCACGAAGTATAGAAGTACGAGACATAATATACCTACTGCAGTTATTAACTAAATAGAGATTTAATATTGTTTGTGTCGCATACTCCGAAACTATCATACTGCAGAATATGAGAATATGGATATCTGATTTAAACTTCGGCAATCCAATTTTTTTTTTTTTTATAAATTATTCAAATTTCTTTTATGTTCCTCAATAAATGTTTACACGATTTCATAATTATGTGGCCACTGGCCAGTGGGAGGCACTTTGTATACATATTCTAAAAATACTTATGAACAATTTTACATAAGATAATTTCTTTAATATCATTATGGAATGCCTAAGCTAAAGTTCGCGGACCGCTAAATAAATAAATTATACATCAAACCGAACATTCCGCAGTCTATATCATTATATAACATATTGCTTATTGCGTTTAAAATTTAAATTTGATGATACGAAACAACTGTACGTTTGAGTATAAGATGACGTCTGTACTTTTCACGGATTAAGAGATAGTCTGTGGTACCTTTAGTATTATACTATTATGTATTAATTATTAATTATTTTTATCTACATAAATTATTATATATATGCATGCATATGCCATACGGCATACAGTACATTTGGTTTTTGGCTTTTGATAATGATAAATAATAATAAACATTAATAGGCATATAATAGCAGTACAATTATTATAGTACTATCTTGCTAATCGAATGAAATATGATGTAGTAACCTAAAGTATGATATTTCGGTTTATAGTTAATGATAATAAAATACACTAGGTTACAGCTGCAGCTGAGCAGTGGGTAATAAAACGACAAAATATAATGCATTAAGTTGTAAGTATATCATGTCGTAATATAATATTTGAAATTTATTTTGAAAGAATATAAGTAGATTTATTTTTTAACCGCGTAGGTAATCAGTAGAAACAATCACACTAAAAATCTATGTTTAAGATAAAATTTGTTCTAAGAAAAATAAATATTTACATAAAAACAAAAAATGACATTATATAAACCGCAATGCTGCGAATTTAAGGTTGTTGCATGTTAATCAATTTAATTCAGACATAAACAAATATACCTATAATAATGAAATATAAATCTGTATTCTGTACCTAGTCAAAAGTGGCTCAAAACGGTCTAATTCATTCCAAATATTATTGCAAAATATAAGTGTTTGCACATAAGATTTTTATTACCTACTAATTTTGTTATTCATATAAAAGCATTTATTTTTATAAATATTAATGTATTTACATTTACCACATATGAAATGGCCTGTGGGTATTATACATAGATATTCAACTATACAAAATACAAGTACATTGATACATATTAATATATTAACAAAAATAAACTATTATGGGGTATATCAATAATCAACCCTCTTGTACGTTTTATATTACATATTTTAAAAAAAGTACTTAAATGAAAAAATCACTGTTTCTACTTTAAACTTAACTATCTATGCAGAATTAAATTATATGAGAAAAATCCATCGATTAGCATCACACCTTATAAAAAAATATTACCCAAACGCTTTTTCCGCATGTTATTAAAAAACATTGCCAAACACATTATACAGTATATTTTAAACCCATTCGCTCAAACGCATTGCAATTTATACAAGAAATACAAACCGCCCTCGGCTCACAGTGGTCTGAAATTCGCGCTATAACAATGTCGCAATATACATATCGTTAAATAAAAAATGTTAGGTACAGCGATTTTACAAGTCATTAATACCCAGATGTCCACTTTTAATAACCAACTAACAATCATACACGCTGATGTAGTTTAATATTTTTGACCATTTAGTATAAAATTAAGGTAACGAGTAGCGATTTAACGGGTTACCCCTTCTGAACACGGTGTCAGACGTCAGTGTATGCATTATTACAAAGAGGGGTTCACAACTCACTGTGTCGTGTCGTGTTCGTATATACGAATATATTACGAATATATTACGAACATATACGAATATATACGAAAATATTTAATACATAGGTAACAAAATATTGGTCACACGTTACCTATGTATTAAATATACGAATAACAACACGTCACGGTGTTGTGTGAATCCGGTTTTAAAGTTAAAGACAAATGACAACATATCTAATGGAAATAAATATTGTTGTCTAATAATGTTTGGAACTTTGGAAGGTTAGTTTTCAATAAAAAAGATAATCCACTAACCCCTAACTCACTTGTATATGTCTAGCTTGGGACAAGGGCCTCAAAATGTTGATTGCTTTACTGCATTGGATTCTATCTAGTATAACGTACAGCAGTTGTACATTTGTAAAGTTGTAACCTATAGAATATGGATGGTTTTGGAGATGTATTATTACAGGTACAAAGTGAGTAATTAAGTTATATTGTTTAGTATTATTTCCTATTCATTACAATAAATATACTTATAATAGTTAGGTATATCACTTAAAGGTATTAGGTACTAATGTACTATACTCTATAGTAGGGGCGGGCAACTGGCGGCCCACGAGCTTTTTTTTCTGGCCAGAGCTACATTGGCCCTCTAGTAACTTTGAGTTGCTCATCCCTGGTTCGGCTGGTCCATAGTATATTAGTATATATTGGGTTAATATACTTAATAGTTTAATACATACAACCATTAAAAAATTTTATTCGTTTCATACCGAAATTATATCAGTGATAAGTGATTAGTACTAAATTATAAAAACAAGGCGTATTTATTTATTCAGCGTCATACGGATATACGGCAATTTATGAGGATTTATGATAGTTTATAATATACCTATAGAGTATAGGTTATAGCCTGTAGGTAAATATAGAATTGAAACAGTATACAAAAAAATAAAGGTAGTTACTATGTAAAATGTTTAAATATAATTAAGTAGTTTTATAACATTGACTTTTAACTTATAAGTTATAGCTATAGGGAGTGGATGATTTATTACATTTGTTTATAAAATCTAAATTAATGTGAAGTAAGATAGAAATTTGTTGCATTACTTAAATAATTCAAATAATCAATGTAATTTTGCATATTCTTTATATTTGTTTAATTTTTACTTGTTTGATGCCTTAATCATATTTTTATACTCAGCATGCTTTTAGTGCAATATAGTGCATATTTGAGAATTTTCGTAATACATTACGTCAAAAATTCAGTACCGTTGTAAAACTGGAAACCCCTGCGATAGTACCTAACAACTGGTTTTATTAAGTTGATACAATGAATAATGTATTAATTGTTACGATACGTATCATTTATGTCGATATTTCAGTTGTGTTCCGCGTTTTGTTTCCGCGTTCGTTTGTTTCGTTCTCGTAATCTCGTCCGAAGATGTAGTGATGAATGTCTACATTATATAAAGCTTTATATTTATTTTAAAATCCCAAAATTTCAAAACCATTGTGACTACGTAATTTTGTTTCTGAATTAATATTGTTTACTGCTGTTGGAACTGTTTTATGCTATACATTGTGTAATAAATAAATGATCGAAGGTGTCTTAAAGTGCTTCAGCATATTAATACAAATAAATATATCAAAAATTGAAAAGAAAATCATCTTCATTAATTTATTAACAAACAGCAGCTTGTTTCAAATATTACAAAAAATTATACCCTTTCATGAAAATATATTGTGTTTTGCACTTTTACGTGCAAATATACCATTAATAAAAATTAATAAGATATGTAAAACATGATATTTTTGACGAATTTACATTAAGGAAAAATGATGTTCCTGACATTAACATTTTATAATAAAATAATTCAAAAAATCCGTGACTATGGAAACAATAATATAATTTGGATAAACATTGACAAAACGACTGTCAGGGGGGGGGGGTTGATATATTACAAATATTTCTTCTTACAACCAATATTTTGGAAAAAGCCAATCACCAAAACATACATAGTATGTAAGTTGTCGGAAGGTTTTTTTTACTTCTTTGGCCTGAAAAAATATGCTGACGACTCACGGATGCTGAATATAGTGAGGGATACAAACGTCTTACAATCCTTCCCTAGTCCCTGTACTTACAATAAGTTACAGGTGACCGAAAATCTAAAATAATCTATTGAGCTCTCTGACCATTCTACGATCGCATTCTGAGCCTTATTAGAGCACGGAAAAAAAAAATGACAATTTATTTATAGTTGAAATTAATATTGTTAAATCAACTAAATATATAATAATTACAACTATTGTGTATCTGTTAAAATTACTTTTCTATTATTGTTATATAATTAGGGCATTGTTAAACAATATTATTTTTAAAACAACTACATTTATGATAAAAATAACCAATGTAAATCAGTTGGAATAATTATTACTTTCTTGAGTATTGATAAACCATTTTTTCGTTACATCAACTTATATTATGGTTGTTTTAACGAAGAAAATAGTTAAAATATTTTAACTATTTAATTTTGTAAAATCAACATAAAAAATAAAGCTAAAATAGTATTGTTCCAATATTGAATCGCGTGTAGTGTATTAGCGTTTTTAAGGTTATTTACTTATGTACAATCGTACAACGAGTTGTTTGATTTTATTTTCTGCAACCAGAAATTGTTCGTTATATTATTTTATAACTGTGTTTTACTGTGTTACTGTGCTCCGTGTTCGGGTGTTCCAGTGTTCGTCAAAGTTTAAAGATCAACAGGTATTTTCAGGTATGTATCTTTTACTTTAATAACTTTAATTGAAAAATTAAAAATCTCAGATTATGCCTATAATATTATCCTTACATTCAATAGGTAGGTATGTAGGTACTATAGATGATTTTTCATTGAGTCAATATTATAATTATTGAAGTATTATTGTTCATGTAAAGTAATATTTATAGTCACAGGTGAGAATAATATGGACGAATTCACAGAGCAATATTTAAAAGAATGGGGTTTTGACTATTTAGTCAGCCGTTTTAAAGGTATGGCAAAATCTAAAACATATTTAAAATTGTATCAAAAAATATAGGTTCATTAAAATCAAGATTCTATATAGGTACATGAGTTGATTAATGATATTGTTTAATTAATTACTTATTCAAATTATTTTAGAGGAAGAAATAGATAGAATTGCATTTTTAGACTTAACTGAATCAATGGTAGCTAGACTGATTCCAAAAATGGGACCACAATCCAAATTCTTTAAATTACTACAAACACTAAGAGAAGAAATTCAGAAGGATAAAGTAGGTTACTTATTTATTATTATACATTCTATTAATTCTTAGGTAAATAGATTCAAATAGATTTATGAAAGTATTATTATACAAGTAGACATTCTCAAACTGTTTGTTACTAGGAAATAGCATTAACAGAATCTACTACCAGTGAATCTGGTGCATCTAGTTCTTTGAATTTAATCGACATTGGTAATATTGCAAATTTTGAAATTCTTAGTACTCAAGAGAATTTTAACAGTTTAGCTAATGAGGAAATGCTACCTACCACAAATTCAAATTTAGGTAGAATAATTTTCTTGTTTATTACCTACCTTAATAAATTCACTATATTATCCAATGTTATTAATTTTTAAATCATATGTTAATATAGATTCAAATGAAAATTATTTATACTTAGGTCAATACATAAATGACATTTTAAATAAATATCAGGATGGACTAATGATCTTAGATTATTATAATGTGCATAAAAACTTAAATTTTTCAATGAAAAACAAATTAAGTTCTGTTATAATTAACCACGAGCTTAAACATCAAGA